AATTGATCACTTTCTTCATCTTTCTGTGTCTCCCTGTCAGTCAGTGCCCCTTGGCGCAGGGCCCGATGCTGCTAGCTGCGGCCTCCCGCTGCGGCCAGGCATCCCTGCGCGCGCGCACGGCCCGACGCGACTGACCCGCGGGCAGGCATCCGTGTGCATACCCCACATCTGGGGCGGGGCCTAGCCACCGTCCTGGCGCTCCAGCACCAGGGCTGGTTGGGGCTCGTCGTCCTTGTGCGGGTAATTGTTTTTCCCAACCATCCTGTGGTGTTGGGTCCTCGTTTTGAAGAGACAGCGCCCCGCGTCCCACCTCCTCCTCCTCCTCTCCTCCCCCTCCTCCCTCCTCCCTCCTCCCATCATCATCATCATCATCATCATCATCATCATCATCATCATCATCATCATCATCATCATCATCATCATCATCATCATCATCATCATCATCATCATCATCATCATCATCATCATCATCATCATCATCATCATCATCATCATCATCATCATCATCGTCATCATCATCATCATCATCATCATCATCATCATCATCATCATCCGTCATCGTCATCGTCATTCGGCACACCCCTCACACGTTTCGTGGCCCCATAGGGAGCTCCACCGAAGGCCCGAGGGCTGCCGCCCGCATGCGTCCCCTACACCCATTTCGGCACACCCCTCACACGTTTCGTGGCCCCATAGGGAGCTCCACCGAAGGCCCCATGGCTGCCGTCCGCATGCGTCCCGCACACCCATTTCGGCACACCCCTCACACGTTTCGTGGCCCCACAGGGAGCTCCACCGAAGGCCCCAGTGCTGCCGTCCGCATGCGTCCCGCACACCCATTTCGGCACACACACCCCGTGGCTAGGGAGCTCCACCGAAGGCCCCATGGCTGCCGTCCGCATGCGTCCCGCACACCCATTTCGGCACACCCCTCACACGTTTCGTGGCCCCACAGGGAGCTCCACCGAAGGCCCCAGTGCTGCCGTCCGCATGCGTCCCGCACACCCATTTCGGCACACCCCTCACACGTTTCGTGGCCCCACAGGGAGCTCCACCGAAGGCCCCAGTGGCTGCCGTCCGCATGCGTCCCGCACACCCATTTCGGCACACCCCTCACACGTTTCGTGGCCCCATAGGGAGCTCCACCGAAGGCCCCATGGCTGCCGTCCGCATGCGTCCCGCACACCCATTTCGGCACACCCCTCACACGTTTCGTGGCCCCATAGGGAGCTCCACCGAAGGCCCCAGTGCTGCCGTCCGCATGCGTCCCGCACACCCATTTCGGCACACCCCTCACACGTTTCGTGGCCCCATAGGGAGCTCCACCGAAGGCCCCATGGCTGCCGTCCGCATGCGTCCCGCACACCCATTTCGGCACACCCCTCACACGTTTCGTGGCCCCACAGGGAGCTCCACCGAAGGCCCCAGTGCTGCCGTCCGCATGCGTCCCGCACACCCATTTCGGCACACCCCTCACACGTTTCGTGGCCCCATAGGGAGCTCCACCGAAGGCCCCATGGCTGCCGTCCGCATGCGTCCCGCACACCCATTTCGGCACACCCCTCACACGTTTCGTGGCCCCATAGGGAGCTCCACCGAAGGCCCCAGGGCTGCCGTCCGCATGCGTCCCCACACCCATTTCGGCACACCCCTCACACGTTTCGTGGCCCCATAGGGAGCTCCACCGAAGGCCCCATGGCTGCCGTCCGCATGCGTCCCGCACACCCATTTCGGCACACCCCTCACACGTTTCGTGGCCCCACAGGGAGCTCCACCGAAGGCCCCAGTGCTGCCGTCCGCATGCGTCCCGCACACCCATTTCGGCACACCCCTCACACGTTTCGTGGCCCCATAGGGAGCTCCACCGAAGGCCCCATGCTGCCGTCCGCATGCGTCCCGCACACCCATTTCGGCACACCCCTCACACGTTTCGTGGCCCCATAGGGAGCTCCACCGAAGGCCCCAGGCTGCCGTCCGCATGCGTCCCCACACCCATTTCGGCACACCGTGGCCCCAAGGGAGATATTCACAATTGGCGGTCCGCTCATGCATGCACACCCATTTCGGCACACCCCTCACACGTTTCGTGGCCCCATAGGGAGCTCCACCGAAGAAGATATTCACAATTGCGGTACTCTCAACTGCATATGGTTGGGTCCTTCGCCAGGCTAATTTTCTAGGGGCACTGGCTGCGTGACTGGTGTTCATGTCTTTTTGTTCCGAGTTTGGAGATCTTGTCTTCCAGACTGTTCAGCACCCAGGCACATGGCCCGATGCGCCTAGCCGTTGCCTCCCGCCGCGGCCAAGCATCCCTGCGCATGCGCACGGCCCGATGCGACTGACTCAGAGGGCAGGCATCCGTGCGGTTACCCCGCATCTGGGGCGGGGTCCTGCCATCGTCCTGGGGCAGCAGCACCTGCGGTGGAGGGGCCCCGTCGTCCTTGTGCGGGTGGTCGTTTTTTTTGTCTGGGTGCTTAACTCTCGGTGTTTTCTTGGGGGCCTCTGGGCTCGTCTTGAGGCGATCTTTCGGGCCTCTTGGGCCGCCTTGGAGCATCTGGAAGCCGAACTGGGGAGAACGCCCAAACCCTTCAAAACCCAGTAAAAATCAATGACAATTTCCTATTTGGCCCCTCCCGGGAGTGCTGTCGGAGACCTGCTGGGACGCTTTGGCAGCTTTTTAACCGTCTTGGAGTGCTCCCGGGCCGCTTCGGACCTCTCTTGGGCTGTCCTGAGGGCGTCCTGGAGCCATTTTAGAGGGTCCTGGGAGCGTCCTGGCGTCTCCGGCGGGGGGGTGACCACAGCCACTGGGCAAAGTGAGGCCCCCCCCTGGTCCAGGACCCCCTCCCCATTTATATATATATATATATATATATATACATATATATACATATATATATATATATATATAGATAGAAACATACGTAAAACATGTAGGATTGTGTACACAGGAGAAGGACAATCTATAGAAACATACGTACGTCGTCCAAGGCGCCTCGGAAGGCGCAGAATACTCCTCCAAGGCGCGGAATCATGTTCCCGGACCGCCTTCCGGGAACATGATGGGGACGACCTCCTGAGGGCCTCCAGTGGGCCTCTTGGGGGCCTCTCGGAGGCCTGTTGGGCTCTCCTGGAGGCGTCTTGGGGCGCGCTCAGGGCCATTTTTGGGCATCTTGGGGGCCTCTGGGGGCCTCCGGGGAGGCTCTTGGGGGCCTCTTTGGGGCCTCTTGGGGCCTCGCGGGGCCCTCTTGGGGACCGCTGGGCTCGCTTAGGCAGTCTTGAAGCCCTGTCGGGGCTCTCCTGGAACCGTCTTGGGCGGCTCCTGGGCCATCTTGGGGCTCTCCTGGGCCGTCTTGGGACGATTTTGGGGGTCTCTTGGGCCGTCTTTGGGCGGTCTTGGGGGCCTCTTCGGCCGTCTTGGAGCAGTTTTGGGAGACTCTTGGACGGTCTTGGAGCGTCGGAACCCCGAAAAAGCGAGAAGGCCAAAAACCTAGGAAAAAAAACAACGATTTTGGCTTGTCGGGGCTCTCTTGGGAGGCCTCTTGGGATGCCTTCGGGGCCTCATGGAACTCTCTTGGAACGTCTTCGGGCCTTCCTGGCCATTCCTGAGGCTATCTATGCGCGTCTTGGAGCGCTCGCGGGCCGTCTTGGGCGGTCTCGAACTGTTCCTGGCAGTCCCAGGGGCCCTCCGGGACGCTTCGGACGCTCCCGGGGGCGCCCTGCACCCCCCATGGAGATTACTGGCAGCGCCCCGGGCCGCCCCCGGGCCCTACTCCGATATGTGTATGTATGTATATATATATATATATATATATATATATATATATATATACACGTTCAAAACTGTAAATGTATAGTCGATCCTGTTGGCGTGTGTAAGGGGCTGGCCTGTTCGAGTCAGCGTCTCCGTCAGTCGTCGTCTGCAGCGTTCCCCTTTCCCTGCGCCCTCCTCTTCAAGCTTGTCAGCGAGAGAAGAATCTAGCAATGTCGCAATCGAGTCAAAAGGAAGCCCCCACCTTTGATCCCTCCCCCGTCGGGGCGGGGTCCCCCGAGGGGGGGATACGCCTCCCCCCCTTGGGGGCCCTGGGGCCTCAGAAAGTATCAAGACAGGCCAAAAGTGCCCCCAAAGGCCCCCGAGACGGTCCAAGAGGGTCCCCAACCGCCAAACGACCAGTCCAAAATGCTTTCACGCCCTCTACACTTCCCAGGAGGCCTCCAAGACGCCACAAGAACGGAACACTCCCAAGAGAGCCCCAAAATGCAAAGATCATCGATTTCCCGTGAATTTGTAAAAAAGATTTCGGCGTTCTCGCCTTATCCGCTTCCAGCCGCTCCAAAACGGCCCAAGAGGCCCCCAAGATCGCACTGAAGGCCTCCAAGAGGCACCCAAAACAGCCCAAGAGGATCCCAAGACAGCGAAAAACGTCTCGAAGACAGCCCACAAGGCCCCCGAGACGGCTCCAAGAGCGTGCCGACCCGACCGGAGACATTTCGAACCCTCGGCCCCGAGAGGCCCCCAGGAGGCCTCCAGGAGGCAGGAGGCCTCCAGGAGGCAGGAGGCCTCAACAAGCCCAAAAGAGGTCCCCAGGAAGCCCGAAACCTCCCAGAAGGCTCTCAAGAGGCCCCCAAGAGGCTCCCAAGAGGCTCAACAATTCCTCCCCACAGGCCTCCGAGAGCTTCCCGAAGAGACCCAAGTAGCACCCCTGAGGACTCTGGCTCACGTCAGCGTCGCCGCCGCCGCCGCCCTTGTCGTCGTCGTCGCCCCCCTCCAGGGTCGGCGGCACCCGCCGCAAGGCATTCGCAATATGGATACGTACACACATATATATATATGTATATATATATATATGTGTGCATGTGTGGCGATATCGCGCGCTTCTGGCCAGGGTGGGGGGGGCCGACCAGCGATGAATGGGCGATCGGGGGTCGATGTCTCACCCCCTGGACCGGTCGCCTCATGGCGAGACAATCAGGAGGCAGGAAAGAAGCAGCGCCCCGGCAACCGTCGGAGCGCCCGAGTCTCCGTCCTTCCGCAGCACCGCCTGTCCGCGGGGGCGCGGGGGGCGGCCAGATACGCACGACCTCTCCTCTGCTGCGATGCGGCGAGGCGGCCTCATAAACCCCAGCACTGGGGGGAGGGAGTCCTGACATGAGCTACAGGGCTGATGATATTGCCGCCATGAGACCGCCTCGACACTGAGGGGGTGGAGGCGAAAGGAGGAGAGTGAGGCAGGAGGAAGAGGGAGATGACGGATTCGATAGGATTCGATAGGCGCTGCAGGTGACGTAGCCGAATCCCTTACCATGGCAATCCTGGTAGGTGGGTCCCACGACGGGCTTCGACCCGTCGGACCCTGAAAGAGCCGCCTCTGTGACAGCCGCCGCCGGCTGGTGATGGCTGTGATGTTTGCCCTGGCGAATCCTGGCGAGGTTGTCGTTGCCCTTCAGACAAGCGCGCACACCCCAGTGAGCTGACGCGGGTCCGTCGGGGCGGTTCTGCCACCGAGGGAACAAACGCGCAAGGAAAACCGAGGCCAATAAAACATCCTGTGGAATCTGTCTGGTTTGTTGCCACCCCCCGCCGCCGAACTGGCCGCCCTTCCGATCAAGTGGACGGCCTGGTCGGTGCTCGGCTCGGCCGCTGGACTCGCTGTCGTGGCCGCTTGGATTATCTCTTCAACATTCTCGATGCACTGAGAAGCCGCGCAAATCCATCCACCGTGGGCCCGAGTCCAGCAGTGCGCCCTGCTGAGAAGAGCCTTACCCCGTGCCCTCTTGTTTTCACGGCCCGTCTTGGGCCGAGTGGGCGCCCATGGTGCAGCGGCAATGGCGTCGATCATGGCGTGAGCAGCCCTTCTTCGACTGAGGTGGGCGGTGCAGTCCCGTTGCTCGGTATCAGGAGCCCGACGGCCCTCGAGGGCCAAAACCCAGGAGTGATCCGTGGCGCCCCCACCATGTCCGTCGGCGAGGCTGTTTCCCACCGCAGAGTGACGCCGCAATGAGGACAGGGCAAAATCATGTGGATCCACATGCGAAGGAGCCAGATGACCTGGACGCTTCCTACACGAGATCTGACAGCATCCCAAATTCGAAACCAAGACCCGAATTCTTGCCAATCAACCGGGCCGCGGAGCCAGTACAGCCTGCTCGGCCTCGGCCTGCGCCACGGCGCACAGGTAGGCCGCCTCCTACATGGCCTTCGTGCGCCTTCACTCTCGGCCGCCCTCTCCGACGCCAACTGGATCCTCCTCTGCGCAGCCTCGGCCCTGTAGTAATCCTCCCGCGGCGACTCGACCCTGCGGCGCGGGTGAAGGGTCCGGCCTGATTGATGGGCCTGTTTTCCAACACCACCACCACCAGAAGCTGGAGGGGGGGAATGAGGTGAAGGCGAAGGCGAAGGCGAAGGCGTCGAAGTCGGGCACACTGGTGTGCCCGTGCCCTTTAGGGCATGGCGCAGGAGGCCGTGGCCTCACATCTCGTGCGAGTAGAAGTCGTGGGCGAAATACTGCAGGAACCAGCACACAAAGAAGGCAAGGAACACTTTGCGTATGAACCGCAAGAGAAAGAAGGCGTGGTAGAAGATGTTCGTGGACCAGATCAGAATCGAATCGGTGCGGTCGGTGTCCTGGCTGCTGCTGTTGTGCTGCTGTTGGTGTACAATGACTATGGCCAGGGGCTGCCTGGCCTCAAAGAAACGGAGAATAGCTCGATGAGCTCGCCCAGCATGAGTACAGCAGGGCCGCGCACGGCATATCTGACACCACAGGTCAGACGACCAAGAAACTCCAACCACCATGCCAAGAAAGAGGTAGATAAAAGGGCGAACATCAAATGGCAGAGAACGACGCCTGGGCAAGCCGGCTGTGTGACACGAGTGTGCCATAACGCCAATGGTAAAAGTGCCATTCAGAATGCAGCGGTGCAAATTTAAGCGCTTCACCTCGGCACCCCTCGGGTCGCAAACGACGAAGAGGAAGGGGGAGAAGGACACGAGGCAAAATAGCTCGATGAGAACGCCCATCATGAAACACAGCAGGGCCACATGTGGTATCTCTGACACCACCAGTCAGACGACCAAGAACCTTCGACCACATTCCACAATATGAGTAGATGAAGTGACAAGCAACAGGTCGCAGATCACGACGCACGCTCAAGCCGGCTGTGTGACACGAGCGCGCAACAACGCCAATGGTAAAAGTGCCATTCAGAATGCAGCGGCGCAAACTTAAGCGCTTCACCTCGGCACCCCTCGGGTCGCAAACGACGAAGAGGAAGGGGGAGAAGGACATGAGGCAGAATAGCTCGACGAACACGCCCAGCATGAAACACAGCAGGGCCACATGTGGTATCTCTGACACCACCGGTCAGACGACCAAGAACCTTCGACCACAATCCACAATATGAGTAGATGAAGTGACGAGCAACAGGTCGCAGAGCACGTCGCTGGCGCAAGCCGGCTGTGTGACACGAGTGTGCCATGACGCCAATGGTAAAAGTGCCATTCAGAATGCAGCGGTACAAATTTAAGCGCTTCACCTCGGCACCCCTCGGGTCGCAAACGACGTAGAAGAAGGGGGAGAAGGGCGAGAGGCAGAATAGCTCGATGAGCACGCCCAGCATGAAACACAGCAGGGCCACATGAGGTATCTCTGAAACCACTTGTCAGACGACCAAGAACCTTCGACCACAATCCACAATATTAGTAGATGGAGTGACGAGCAACAGGTCGCAGGGCACGACGTCGGCGCAAGCCGGCTGTGTGACACGAGTGTGCAATAACGCCAATGGTAAAAGTGCCATTCAGAATGCAGCGGTACAAATTTAAGTGCTTCACCTCGGCACACCTCGGGTCGCAAACGACGAAGAGGAAGGCAGAGGAGGGCATGAGGCAGAATTGCTCGATGAGCACGCCCAGCATGAAACGCTGCAGGGCCACATAAGGTATCTCTGACACCACCAGCCAGACTACCATGAACCTTCGACCACAGCCCACACTGAGTAGATGAAGCGACGAGCAGCAGGTCGAAGAGCACGACGTCGGGGCAAGCCGGCAGCACCAGCCCTGTATACCAAACGATTAGCTCGCAGAGCACGCCCAGCGCTGTGCATCCGCCAGGCCACATACGATCTCACTGGCACCACAGCTGGCCAGTTGATCGCTCGATCAGCTCGCTCGCTGTTGCTGTTGGTGTCGGCGGTCGGTGGTGTTGGCGCCGGAGGTAGGAGCTGTGGTTGGTGTACTTGATGTTGGGGGCTGTGCGCTCAGCAGTTGTATGCAATGAAAGTGCTCTCAAGCGAATCCCAACATGTCGTGTCTGTGGCAGCTGTTACCCATCTCACATCGTTACTGTCGTAGTGAAGGTATCGTCGTGGATGGACGGCGTCGTTGGCATCGCTGCCCGCGGCTTCGTTTTTGGCGGTCGTGGGCAAGCACTGCAAAAACTTCCTCATGTCGTCGTCCCACCGCTTTCTTTGGCCGCCATGCTGCCTGTGACCTTGCTGTTTCGCGTCGAGACTGGGGTTCCAATTCAACGCTCGGTGTGTCCATCGGCTCTGCGGATGGCTTGCAACTCGCGGGGCCCAGCGCCAGACCTTTGTGCGGTGTATCTGTGCTACGTCAGGAATGTCGCTCTTGTTCATGAGTTCCTCTGCTCTGCGCGTGCTCCGGCGGATGAAGTCAGACCACAGCTCGTCGTCCACCGTCTGCTCGTGGGTGCGGAGTGCGTCGCTGGCGTCTTCTCGTGTGCTGGTCTGCTCTGATGAGGGAGGGGGGTCGCTGGATGCGTCGTGGTCGCTGGTGTCATCGGGATCGTCGCTGTCCGCGTCGCGGTTGCTGCGGTTGCCCCCCCTTGGGGCGACGTGCGTTCGCAGGGCGGTCTTTGTGAGCCTCCTCGGGGTTCCGATGATCGCCCGGAGCATTCGTCGTTGAGTGCGGCGTAGCTGTTGTCTGGGCGGTTCCGTCAAGGTTCACGCTTCTGCGCCGTGTGTGATCTTGGGTATGACGGTGCCATGGTAGAGCCGCAGCCTGTCTTTGAGTGGGTAGTGCTTGCTCGTTAGCTCTTGTCTTTGTCCTGTGAAACAGGCCCACGCCGCCCGTATGCGATGTTGGATTTCGGTCGCCACTGCGTCTTGGCATGTAATCGTCTGACCGAGGTATGTCAACTCGCCGGTGGGTGGCCGTATTGCAATGTCCATGGTTGCAACATGTGCAGAGCGAGTCCGGGTCCACAATTGGTTGGTCCTGAGTTTTGTCTTGGTCGGGTGTATTTCGAGGCCGTGTGGTTTTGCTGCTGTGATCAGATCTGTGAGTATAGTCTTCAGGTTGGGCAGCGTCTGGCTGATTAGCAGAATGTCGTCGGCGAAACGGAGGTTGGTGAGCGCAGACTGGTCGGTGCGTGCCAATTGGACTCCTCTTCGTCGTCGCTGCCATTCTGGAATGAGTGGCGCTAGAACGTGTTGTAGTAGAGCGTTGAAGAGTAAGGAGCTAAGGGGGTCGCCTGGTTTTGTGCCGCGCCGCAGCTTGAAGGGTTTGCTCGTGGAGTCTGTGCGAACCACGGCTGTTTGGTCATGGTAGAGGCGTTGGAGCAAGTGGACGTAGTCAGGTGGCACGCCCTGGTTACGCAGTGCTGCCCATAGGCTGCTGTGTTCCACCGCGTCGAATTCTTCCTTGAAGTCTGATGCTGCGATCCACAAAATCTGGTTCCATTCAGAGGCCCATTCCCGTAGGATGTTAAAGGTGAAAAGGTGGTCGCGCGTGCCGCGTCCAGGTCGGAAGCCTGCTTGGTCGTCTGGCTGGTGTTGGTCGAGTACTGGAGAGAGCCCGTTGTATAGCAGACAACTGGACAACTTGTAGAGCATGGGAGTACTGCATATCGGACGGTAAGTTTGTGGGAGAGTCAGATCACCCGATTTGGGAATGACTGTAATCACCGTCTTCCGCCAGCTTGATGGAGTCGGGGCGTCTGGCTTTATGACCGCGCTGTACAACTGCAACAAGGCATGATGTAGTTCCGGGCATTGGCATTTGAGCATCTCGGCCTTG